AATTACACGGAAATGGAAAAGCAAATGTTTGATAAACAAATGTTGACCACGTCTTGTAAAGACAATGGGAGAGGAAGAGGACTTTGATTAAAAGGCCCTTGATAGGTTCCTCCCTGTCTATCACACCTAGTTTATGTTCCATTATAGTTACCTTCTGGTATTAGCTTCTTTCTGGAATCAGCCTTCCATCTGAAATTCTTTTAGGCAGTTAGGTGGAAGGTCAAAGTTTATTTCAGAGTCTTTTGTTCTTAAAAATAATCAAGACAAAGAGACACATTTTGGGGTGGCAAAGTCTGATCCCCCATAAGGTCATACCCCCAAAATATGATAACCATTAAGTAAAGAAAGTTTTCCAGATCCTAAACAAATAAAAGGGATTTAAACTCCTATGCTGCCCTTAAAGCAGGTGATGAGGGTGTTAAATGGGGAATACTTGACTAGAGCTGATTCATAATACTTCGAAATGACTATTTTTTATCATTTATATTGGTTACTTGGACTTTGAAACACATAATTCCATTTAAGTAGGAATCTTACTTCCTTATCGTGTAGAAGGAGTAATATTGGAAAACTAGGCCTCTCAATTGAGCAAGGGGAGTCAAACTAAGTATTTTGATAAAGTAAATCCTGAATTTGTTAAGAATTAAAAAAAGGCTTTTTGAATGGCAAATTGTTTAACTGTTAGACAACCTAATGATTTGTTTTTTATCTATTCTTTCCAAGATTAAACAAATTGGCTGAAGCTATGCTTTGAAGATTTATAATCAGTGGTAAGAACAACAAAACTCCTAAAGCAATCACTTACACAGTGCTTTTAAAAAGTCAAAATGATCCAGGCTGTCCAGTGTTGTTTCGGAAAGGAAAGAGTTGTGAGTCAGCAGAAGCACTTGTTATCTATGCTCTCTAAATATGTGGGCACATAGAGTTAACTAACGTCCCCCAACCGTCTCTGGACTGTATTCAGGCAATTGGCTGTGGTGCTAATATGGTCAAGAGTTAAAAAATAAAAGAAATCTGTAAGTATAGAACATGTAATATGATGATACAATACCTTAAAATGTAGGTTCATTTAATGTAAAAAACATAAAGACATACTAAATCTGAAACATTATAAAACGATAAAATAATTCCTTACTTAAATGATTTTAAACGCACAACATAGTATTGTCAAAGTTTAATAAAATACACGTGACAGATTTGTAAAGAATTTGAGTATTAAGTAAATTTTTTAAATAATGCAGATATTTTGATGGAAAGCCATAATAAGACTAATATATCACAATTTTGTTTTCTTAGGAGTGCCAAACTTTTTTAGTTTTAAGGTGGCATTTGCGTCTATAAAAGTAATTTTAGGTCTTATGATTTTCTTTCAAGTAAAAAGACAAATAATTTAAAGGTTAAATGTTCTTCAAATATGGGGCTGGCCCTGTGGCTGAGTGGTTAAGTTCACGCTTTCTGCTGCAGGCGGCCTAGTGTTTCGTGGGTTCGAATCCTGGGCGCAGACATGGCACTGCTCATCAAACCATGCTGAGGCAGCGTCCCACATGCCACAACTAGAAGGACCCACAACAAAGAATATACAACTATGTACCAGGGGGCTTTGAGGAGAAAAAGGAAAAAATAAAATCTTAAAAAAAAAAAATGTTCTTCAAATATGAAACAAATTCAAGCATTGTGTTCCACGCAACACAACTAACAGCTTAATGGAAATATTTTTTTAAAAAGCCCTGAATAGTAATATCTACTTTTCACTGAAATTAAAAGACTCCTTTTGCAAAATGGTAAGTTAGACCAAATTTAGATTGTTTTATTGCTAAATCTGTTTTTTTTTTTCAATTTTTATAAACTCACTTTGAATACTTGCACTCAATTGCTATTTCAGATAATTCAAAAGAATAAAACTCAAATATTATTCAGACCATCTGTTTCCAACCTGTTCTCTGTGGAGGACATGATTACATAGACTACGTACACCCTTATGAATTTTCATATTTAAGCCTTAAATAGAAATGAAGTGTCCCTTTTATTTTTATTTTAGAAGGCTGAATGAAAAGTTCTTAATTTTGATCATGGTCACGTCTTGAACTTATGCTGGTCCAAGAGGTTGATTTCCAACGAAAAATTGTAACAATAGCAAAAAGAAAAAAAAAGGCACTTTTTGAAGAGAGGCACTCTATCTCCCTCTTGTGCTTCATTTAAAAGAAAAACAAGTCTAGCAGTTATTGATTCTGTGGTTTCCAGCCTTACACAATTGCAGTCAGGGGCCAAAGAAAGCCAGGTGCTGTAGCTCCTACTGGCGTTACTTGACTAGCATCACAAAAGCAATTAGGGGTATGTCGAACAGTTTGCAGTTGACTTCGAGTTTGTATCCTGAGATGTTTGGAAGCTAATAAGAAAGAAAAATAGTATTGGCTCTGCGTTCTGCTCCTGTTCTCACGAAGCTCATTTGTCAGACAAAATCTGAGAACGTGCCAGCAATGTGTCTTATTAGTAAAACAAACTGAAAACCTGTCTGGCGTAGGTTGTGCTGCAGGACAAATGACAGAACTTACTACCAGAAATATAAACAAATAAATTACTTTTCAGTTGAAGACCATAACAGAAAATGGTGACCTCGTGTCAGCATGATAAGATTGCTACCATTGCATCTAAAATGAATTACTGGACTTAGTAAACATTCAAGCTATTATTTCACTTAAGTGTAAATTCTTTGCCATAGAAAATGTTAGCACATGAATCTTTTTTTTTTTTGTGAGGAATATTGTCCCTGAGCTAACATCTATGGCAGGCTTCCTCTATTTTATGCGGGATGCTGCCACAGCATGGCTTGACGAGTGGTGCTAGGTCTGTGCCCAGGGTCTGAACCTGCAAAAACTGGGCCACTGAAACAGAGTGTGTGAACTTAATCACTACACCACCAGGCTGGCCCCAAACCTTATTTTTCAAGACTATTTTAAGTATGGAAGTGCAATGTTTTATTAATATCTCACTAAAAAAACCCCTTAGTTCTAAAAGGAAAAAGATAAATTTAGATGTTATTTAATATTTTAAAATAAGATTGCAATAAATGTATACACATAAATTATTCATGTAACCTCAATCTAAATATTCACACTTGCTCTAGAACTGAAGGAAATTATACATTGGTAACTATTTTGATGAACCAAAAAAGTAGATAGGTCATTGCCTGGTGCTCCTTCCACATATTTGTAATCAACTAATATTATTCACATACGTTTATTGTTACAAGATATTTTTTACAGAGTGTATCAGTCAAATTTGCCTTATAACAAATTATCCCAAAACTCAGTGGCTGTAAGGAAGAGGAACACTCATTTAGTCTCGTCATGTGTCTGTAGGTCAGCTGGGGCTCAGAGCAGCTTCATGCTTCAAGCTGCTGGTCCAGAGCTTGGTTTCTTGCTGTGGTTTGGGTTCAGGTCTGCTCGTGTGTGTTTACTCGGACCTCAGAGTGAAGGAGCAGTGATTGTCAGAGGAAAGCCCTTCTACTGACAGTGGCTAACGCTCAAGACAGCAATCTCAATCATATAAGCACACTTGGTGCTTCTGCTCCTGTCACAACTGTTAAAATTCCATTATTTAAAGCAAGTCATGTGAGCAAGCTTATAGTCAAGGGGCAGGAATTCTCTGCCTCTAATGGGAGGAACGTCAACGTTACAGGGCAAAGGATGTGGTTGCAGAGTGGTGAAGAATTTGGATCAGTGCTTGTTTCTATGTAAAAACATTGTGTTTACTAACCAAGTAGAGCATCTCTAATTAAAAACACAGATTAGAGTCTATTCTTCTTTATGGCAATTGAGAACTCTTTTCACACGTGCAAATGACGCTGTCGAATAACCTTTAAACGCTGTTTGGTCTGCATTTTTCAGAAGTTTTAATCAATTGTATCATCATTTCCAATCAGTTGAAAATACTTTATAATTCCTTTCTCATTTTTTCTTTGATTAAAGGATTATTTACAACTATATTACTTAATGTCTGGACAGTCAGGTATTTTCTATTGATATTTTTATTATGCTATCAAGCTTAATTACTCAGTGGTAGCATAATATATTTTGAATAATTCCAGCCTTTTCAAATATACTGATACTTGTACTATGCACCAACAAATGTCAGATAAAGCTAGATAGTCCACGTGCATTTTAAAGATTGTATACTGTGAAATTATTGGTAGTTAGGTCAAATTTTTGAAATGTGTTTTTAGATCAATGATTTGCTATCTGCTTTGTTTTCCTAACAGATATGAAGATCTCATTTTTCTCCTTTTAATTGTCTTCTTTATATTTTGCTTATATATTTTGAAGGTGTAATTTTAGTCTTGTGAAAATTTCCTAGTTAATTATCCCTTTATCACCGACATACACATTTTTACCTCAAATAACAATTTCTTCCTTAAAGTCTTCATTTTATGCTATTAATAAACTACATCAGCTTGTTTTGGGTTAATGTTGCATATCTGTTATTTCATCTTGTTACTTTCAACCCCTTTCTGCATTTGTATTAAAGAAGTGTCTCTTTTCAGTAGCATACAGTATATTTTTATATAATCTCAAAATCTGTTCCTCTAATTTAGCCCATTTAACTGTAATGCAATCACTGATTTATTTGAATTTTTATTAACTATTTTACTGTTTATCTTTGATTCTAGGATTCTTTTATATTGCTTTGTTACTTCTTTCTTGCTTAATTTTTGATTAACCAAATCTTTTAAAAGTTACTCTATTTCCCTCTACTTTCTTGTTATGTGTACATACCTTCACTATTATTTTGCGATCACTCTATAAATTATAATATTCATCCTTGACTTACTATCTTACCTTTCCCCTGATAATGATAGATACCCTGGGCATTTTAACTTGTTTTACCTTATTCCTATTTATTTTGTCATGCATTTAATTTTACATATAATTTTTGTGAATAACATATTTTAAACTTCACAATTAATAACTCATATATATATGTATATTTTGCCACATTGTTACCTGTTTAGTCCTATTTACTCCTCCCTGAATTTTTATGCTCCCATCAGGATTCATTTTTCTTTTGCCTCCAGGATTCCCTTTTGTACATTTCTTGATCTATACTGCTCATAACGAATAGTCTCCGTTTTGTTTGTTAGAGTATATCCATATTTCTCTTAATTTTTAAAGAAGCCGTTATACATAGAATTCTAGGTTGGCAGCTGTTTTCTTTCAGCACTGTAAAGTTACCATATTTCTGTGTTCTGTCTTCTATCATTTCTTTTGTGATGTAAGCAGTCTGACATTGTTGAATCATAAAATTCACAGGTATTGATTATTTTTTAAACCACTTTATTGAGGTATGATTGTCATATAAGAAGTTGTATATTCTTGATGATTTGATGATTTTGGGGTAATCACACACTTGTGACACCAAAACCACCATCAAAGCCATAAACATATCCATCACTTCTCAAAGTTTTCTTCTGCCCCTTTAATTATTATTATTAGTGTTAGTGGTGAGAACGCTTAAATAAGGTCTACCATCTTAGCAAATTTGAAGTATATAATAAAGTATTGTTAGCTAGAGGCACTATGCTGTATAGCAGGCCTTCAGAGTTTATCTTGTATATCCGAAACTTTCTACCCTTGGACCATGACGCCCCCATTTCCCCCTCCCCCAGCCCCTGGCAACCATCATTCTACTCTCTGCTTCTGTGAACTTGACTATTTTAGATTCTATATGTGGGTGAGATCACACAGTAGTTGTCTTTCTCTGTCTGGCTTACTTCACTTAGTATAACGTCCTCCAGATCCATCCATGTTTCTCCAAATGGCTGGATTCTTTTTTTTTTTTTTTTGAGGAAGATTAGCCCTGAGCCAATATCTACTGCCAATCCTCCTCCTTTTTGCTGAGGAAGACTGGCCCTGAGCTAACATCGGTGCCCATCTTCCTCCACCCTATATGTGGGATGCCTACCACAGCATGACTTGCCAATCAGTGCCACGTCTGAACTGGTGAACCCAAGACACCAAAGCGGAACGTACACAATTAACCGCTGCGCCACTGGTCCAGCCTCTATCATTTTTAAGACTGAAAAATATTCCACTCTATGTATATATAACATTTTCTTTACCCATTCATTTATCAGTGGATGTTTAGACTGTTTCCATATCTTGGCTATTGTGAATAAAGCTGCTATAAACATGCAAATGCAGCTGTCTCTTCCAGATTGATTTCAATTCCTTTGGATTTGTACCCAGAAGCAGAATTTCTGGATCATATGGTAGTTCTATTTTTTTTTAAAATATCTACTTACTTTTTAGAATTTTATCTTTTTCCCTTTCTTCCTTCCTCCTTCCTCCCTTTCTGCTTTCCTTTCTATGTTTTTAGAAATACCATTTGAATATTTCTCCCTGGAATTCTCAGACATTTTTCGTTTGTTTGCTTTGACTTGGTGAGTTGATGTCATTCATTTGTTGTGGATAATTCTTACCAATTCATTTTTCAACTATTTTTCTGGTCTATTCTTTCTTCTTCTGGGGTTTCAATTTTATTTATATTATTACTTTTCAGAGGAACTCACATGACTGTTACGATTTTTGTCTATTTTATGTACTTTTCTCTATCTGTATTTCTATCTGTATTTAATATATGTATATTTTCCATCAATACTTAGTTTGGATATTTTCTCTGGATAACCTTTCCATTTTATTGATCTTGAATTCTATAGTACACTATCAGTAGTTAGGCCCATCCACTGATTTCTCAATTTTAGATATTGTATTTTGCAACTTCCAGATTTTTAATAGTCATTATATTTCTAAGAATTTCAATTATCTAGCTAAATTTCCCCATTCTTTCATGTAGTTTGCATTTTTCTCTATATTCTTTATCTTTCTCTATACTTTTTAATATGTTAATCACATTTAAGTTAACTAATTAACACCCTTGTCTACTAACATCACTATGTATATCACCTCTTGTCTTGCTTCTATCCTAAGGTTTTGTCTTGGTTTTTGTCTGTAAGAGGCTATCTTTCAGCATTCATAGTACATTTGCATGGTCTGCGATTACACTGCAGGGAGTGCCCCAGAACAACGGCATCTTCCACCACAGCAGGCAGGAGTGAGAGCTGGGTCCGTGCTGGTTCCCTAGCGCACTTCTGGTTTGTCCCTGTTCCTGAGGTAGGACTCTCCATGGCTTTCAGTTCAGGACCTGGCAAATTATTTAGATCTCCGTATTGATAGGTTGGAGGAAATTTCACTCTGATTTTCAGAGGTTTATTCTTTAAATTCTCATGCTTTTCTGTGTAGTTTCTGAACTCATCAAACATCTGGAGGGGAAAACTGGTCATTTTTGCAGGCCCTCGTGGTCTGCCACAAGCAGAAGCCCTGCTGCTTTCAGACCCCCTGGGGACAAGCCCTGGACTCTGCTCTCAGTACATGTCCAGGGAATGATGGCTATGGAGGCTCCTAGCTGGGTCACCTTTTCTACCAGGATTTTCAACTCTCATGTGGTGTCTCTCTGGGGCCCCTCTCTCCAGCAGATACTTGTTTCCACAGCAGTAACTGGGAATGAAGGAAAATCAACTACACTTTTCAGAGGTTTTCAGCCTGACTCTTTAGTGTCTGACCTCCTACAAATGCAGATTTCAGCAAAGGATTTGGGTGGAAACTGACCATGTGTTTGTGGCATCTGAAGTTTCCAAAATGTCACCGAAGCGCCATGAAACTGGCTGAAGGCTTTCTGGGTACTTTACCCTCCAGCAGTGGCCCTTTTCTCATTCAAGCCTCCATTTGCAGCCTTCGGGCCACGCCAAGAATCAATAAACTGCTCACAGGGGAAAAAAGAGGTGAGCTTTCCTAGCTCAAACATAAAAAAGTCCTGTCTATTGAAAATCCTAGCCGCTTCAGCCCTTGTTACTTCCTGAGCAATATGATATATTGGAAAATATGATGTTTGCATTTTATTTACCTATTCTATTTCTTCTCTCTGGGACCAACGGCCTGAAGAAACTACGCCCTCCTATCCAGAAGCAAAAGTTAATTCTGTTCTAACAACTGTACACTGATTCAGCCAAATCTTAGGTTTGCATAATTTTATTTTCCCCACTTATATTATGATATTAGCTGCAGTATGTCCATGAATGTGTTAAGACCAAATACATAACAAATCCTTTGGTCCTCTGTGAATGCCGAGGAAGTGAGGCTGAAGTGATCTGGTTCCTCAATGTCTGTTTGCTTGAGGAGGGGGAGTTGCTATCTTACTTTCCTGTGGAGACTTGAAACTTTTTAGTCCACTCATGGGCCAGCCCGGTGGCTCAGAGGTTAAGCACACACGTTCCGCTTTGGCAGCCTGGGGTTCGCCGGTTCAGATCCCGGGTGCAGACATGGCACCGCTTGGCACGCCATGCTGTGGTAGGCATCCCACATATAAAGTAGAGGAAGATGGGCACTGATGTTAGCTCAGGGCCAGGCTTCCTCAGCAAAAAGAGGAGGATTGGCAGCAGTTAACTCAGGGCTAATCTTCCTAAAAAAAAAAAAGAGAGACTTCTTAGTCCACTCAAATCTCTCGTTTTCTACACTCTGATGCTTCCTTCAAACACTGGCCTCTCCTAACCTACAAGTCCTTTCAACAAGTTCAAATCTTCCCTACCCCCTCCTTCTAGGCATGGGGAACTTTCCTTCTCTTTTTCTATTCCACTATTCCGTGGTCGATCATCCACCTAGAAACCCTCCCCCGCCTCGTCTGTGCTTGTGTGGAATTGTATGTAGCTGAGAGACAGAACGTAGACAGATGTTCTGAGCGTGTTCTCTGCCTATTTCTCAAGCTTTGCTAGTTTCCACAGACCTTCCGCCTATCCAGCTACACTGCTCCTTTTCTCCCCCCCGAGACTGTGGGCCGGGTGAGCTTGGCAATGGGTTCTCTCAGAAGGATTTCAACTCATTTGTCCTCTGAAAATCTCCCTTTCTGCCCGAAAAGGCCCTTTCCTCTTGCTGTCATTGGATATTTCCCAAAGCTGTGTTGTGATGTAGACCATAAACTTTCTGATTTAAGAGACTTATCTAGTTCTTGACAGATAAAGATATGAGGAACTGAGCAACTTCGTCTTTCTATAAGAAGTTTGGTTAATAAACTATTGTCCCTAAACATAGCAAAAATATCAAAATTTAAATTCAGGGCTGAAATAGAACAACAACTTTTATATAAAGCTTTATTCGTGTTTATCATAGAGCAACCTAGCACAAATATTGACTCAAATATTTCTATATTTTTGTCTAGTAAGCCAAGACAAATATTAGAGAGTACACATTATATATAAAATATGCCTTTACTAAGAGAAAGACTTATAAATGTTGGGAATATAATTATTTTGAACTTCAGTTAGGCACTGAAATAAAGAAATAGAGTTTCAGAACTGGAAAGGAGCATAAAAATCTCTGGTTCTACTTTTTTTTTTATGGATAAGAAAATTCAAACAACAAGTTTTTAGATGATTTCTCATCTCAGTTTTACTTTCCTTTTGAAGAACTGTTTCTGCCATTTGGAAATATATATTTGCTGCAGTTTATGTCTTATCTCTGTAAGCTTCTTACAGATTTGCCAGTGTGTGTGCATGTTTTAAAGGATTATAATATAATCTTTAATACCTAATGATATATTTCATCCAATTTTCATTTCAGTAACAAACTTACAGTAAGAAAAAATTTTACAGGATTTTAATTATTAAATGAATTTTGTGGAAATAGGGAACCATGCTGTATTTTAGTTTCTAATAGTGATACTTGAAATAAATTTGTAGAATAATATATATTGTTAAATATATATGTAGTATGACCCCACATATAAGTTTAAAAGTACTAAACATATAAATTTTATGTTTACATGGCACAAATAAAAATAACCAATATTCACCAAACAACGTGTTGCAGATTTTTCTTAGGGTATAGACATATGTGAAGCCATTTAGTCCAAGAGGTAGACATATTACCTTCGTTTTTCAAATAAGGAATTTATGACTTTAAGGTAATTTGTCCAAGATTGCACAGAGTACGATTTTTGAGTCCAAGCTCTTCATACTGAAACATATTGCCTTTTTCCTAGTTTTAATGTTGAATTCAATGGCAAACAGGACAGAAGACATTCTGGATCAAACAACTGATCAATTTTGGGGCAAGGAAGTGTAGGAAGCTGTGACTAATGATTCTAAGAGAGTAATTTG